TGCTCAGGCTTGTCTCAAACTCCTGGTCTCAGGTGATCCTCTCACTTTGGCCTCCCAAAGTGCTAGGAAAACAGACATGAGTCTCGGCACCTGTAGCTCAGCAGCTAGGGTGCCAGCCATATACACCAGAGTTTGCGGGTTCGAACACAGCCCAGGCCTGCCAAACAACAATGACAACTACAACAACAAAGTAGCCGGGCCTTGTGGCGGGTGCCTGTAGTCCCACCTACTTGGGGGGCTGAAGCAAGAGAATCGCTTAAGCCCAAGAGTTTGAGGTTGCTGTGAGCTGTGACACTACGGCACTCTACCGAGGGTGACAATAAGACTCTGTCTCAAGGGAAAAACAAAGAAAGAAAGAAAAAAAAAAACAGACATGGGTCGCTGTGCCCAGATAGGCCAAACTTTTAGAGAAACTACATCAATGGTTTATCTTCATGAGAAAGAGGATGGAGACGGGCTCCTTGGAGATCAGTGAATGTGAAGTGAGTCAGCAGGGTGGGACCCAGGGGAAGTTGTCTTCCCCACTTTCCCATGAGTCATGAAGGCTCCATGAAGGAAGTTTTAGCTGTTGGACTAGGTATTCTTTCCCCACTACATTCTTATCAAGCCTGCTTGCTCACCAGCTTTTCTAGTTGATCATCCAAGCCCTGGTTAGTTTTCTTTCTTAGCCTTCATTGAACCTTCTAAACTGCAAGGCCTTCCACCTGGCTTCCCTGCAAATCCCAAATGGTCCCATTTCTGTTCCCCTGACTCCTACTCACTTAGCTCTGCTGGAGAAATCACACAGCTTTTTCCACTGTGCAGTCATGGTCTCCTAACCAGTAGTGTCTTCAGCTCTGCTCACCAAGCCTTCCACCATCAGCTGCCCCAGATTATGCCACTTCCCTGAAACTCCTTATCCTTCTATCCCCCACCCATCTCACTCCCACTCCATGGTCAGCAAATTCCTCACCTTCTGATTAAAACAAGAAAATAGAAGCCTTTAGATCAGTGGTTCTCAACCTGTGGGTCTTGCATGTAACAATGAAAATACATCCTGCATATCAGATATTTACATTACGATTCATAACCATAGCAAAATTACAGTTATGAAGTAGCAACGAAAATAATTTTATGGTTGGGGGTCACCACACATGAGGAACTGTATTAAAGGGTGGCAGCATTAGGAAGGTTGAGAACCACTGCTTTAGATGAAGACTCCCTTTTTTCTTACCAATCCACTGAGGAATTTATTCTTATTTTCTTTCTTTCTTTCTTTTTTTTTTTTGTTTGCTTTTATTGGAATTTACTCTTTTGTTCTATTTTTTAGTCTGGGATATGTTCTCTTTAGCCAGAGGCTAAACTCTTCCTGTGTATGCTGGGAATCCCACTGTCTCCTTCAAAATAGCACATAAACATGCTCTAGCATCTGCCCATTAAAATCAACCATTAGAATCAATCTGGAGAGAGCCTGGTGAGAGCCAGGCAGTAATCGTTTAAAAGCTCCTCAGGTGATTCTGGTGTGCAACTAGGGATGAAAAACATAAACAATCAAATCCAAACTTCTTATCAAGGCTCTTTATAAATTGACTCCTGCCTTCCTTTCCTATAGCCCTCTGATCTGGAGCCATACCAAAGTACTTAGAGTTCCCCAAACCTGCCATATCCCTTGCTTCTGTGACGTCACATACACATGTCCCTCTGCCTGGACTGCCTTTCTCTCCCTTCCAGAAAGTGTTTTTTAATGTTCAACTTAAGTGTTACTTCTGTAGAGCCTTCAAGAACTAATTCACATCCTGGGTTAGTACTCCATACTCAAGTGCATTCACAATGCTCTGGGTTTATCTCTATGAGAGTACTCAGTGCATGCTACTATAATTGTTAATTTATATGTCTGCCTTCCCCCCTGGACTGTTTTTCAGGAACCCTAGAGCTATGTAGATGGCATTTGGTAAGACTTGAGGCTAGGTGGTCTATATCAGATATTTGAGGATGCTTCCTACCAGGCCCTGGATAAGACCTGAATGAAGTGTCTCTGAGCATGTTCATTCAAGTAGTCAGTCAACAACATTTACTGAGGGATTGCCATGGTCATATACCAACATGGTCCAGGTGAATAAATGCATAGTTGAAGTTCTCTATCACTACTTTTTTAGCCTCTGGTACAGTTTCATCATCTATAATCTTGTGCTTTGTTCATCGTTAGTGGACTCTCATGGTGGATACTTAATCCAAAACTTAGTAGTGCTCGCAGAATAGTGCTTTGTACACAGTGTTGAGGAAATATTGTTAAATGAATTGTATGCTTATAAATCTCTATATAATTATGTCTGTTATGGATTTATTTATTGGATTGCTTCCCCACCATGTCTATTAAATGTTGAGACAGAAAGAGTACTAAGCACTTTACATGAGTTATCTCCTTCAATCTTTACAATAATCCTATGAGATTGGTACTATTATTGTTCCCATTTTAAAGAAGTTCAGCCACTTACATTAGGTCACACAGGCACTAATAGGTACATTTAAACATAGGATTTTTGAGTCAGGTATGACCCTGAAGTCACTAGCATATACACGGAACACTTGAGGCTTTCAGTAAATATTTACTAACTCAATAAAACTGCTCCTATGGAAGTAGAAAGGCTTTTAAATACTTATTGTCCTCCCCACTTGACTGTGGATCCCTTGACATCTTGTCCTTTCTCACAATATCCCCTTAACGCTAACATTCACTCAACAAAACATGAGAATCAACTGAATGCCAAATAATAAGCCAGATGCTAGAGATAGAGATGGAATTGGGCACAGTGGCATAACCCTATAATCTCAGCTACTTGGGAGGCTTAGGTGGGAGGATTGCTTGAGCTCAGGAGTTTTGAGTCTAGCCTGGGCAACATAAGAAGACCCTGTCTCTAAAAAACAAAAATAAAATAAAAATTAGAGATACAGAGATGTCTAAAACATGTCCTCTGCTGAGAGGAGCTTATAGTTAGGGGGTGCAGATAAGCAAATAATTTATATTGCGATATGACTGTGAGCAAGTGGAGGAAGTGACTGGTGGGAGACCTCACTGTAACTTGTACTGAGCCAGGAGGTAGGTTGGGTATTGGGGAGTATGAAAGACCTGACATCCTTTTTTTTTTTTTTTTTTTTGTAGAGACAGAGTCTCACTTTATTGCTCGCAGTAGAGTGCCGTGGTGTCACACAGCTCACAGCAACCTCCAACTCCTGGGCCTAGGCGATTCTCTTGCCTCAGCTTCCCAGTAGCTGGGACTACAGGCACCCACAACAACACCCAGCTATTTTCTTGTTGCAGTTTGGCCAGGGCCGGGTTTGAACCCGCCACCCTCAGTATATGGGGCTGGTGCCCTACCCACTGAGCCACAGGCACTGCCTCAAGACCTGACATCCTTGGGGAACAGTTAAAGCACTAAGTGTAGCCTAGGAGAGTGACATAGGTAGAATGAGAGTACCAGGCAGGCCCTGTGTCAGGTAGGGCCTTAGTGTACACTGCTAAGAAGTTTGAGTTCTTTGAATAGTCAGTTCTGCCATTTTCTTTCAAGGATGGGTACTAATGGGCTGGGTCATATCTGTACTTTTGCTCAGACCTCTTACCTGAGCTCTAGGACTAAACTTCTACATAGCTATATCTCACCATTTAAGCACATACTATTTCATCCACCCACTACCTCTACTGAATTTGCTCATTCTGTCCACATTCACACCAGCCAAGCCTACAAGCAGTTATTGCATCCCTGTAGGCAAACATCTATATCTCCAGCAGCTCCTGGAACAGTGTATGTTTATACATCGGAGATAAAGATTTCATTTCACTTAAAACCTAGTCTTTGTTCCCACTGGTTCAGTCTAGAACGATATGTGAAAGCTGGGGCCAGGAGTGTAGAATAGACAACTAAATACGGTAGAACCTCTGTAAGTTGACACCCAAGGGACTCCAACAAACTGGTCAACATATGGAAGTGGTCAACATAAGAAACTAGGCCTACTGTACTGATAAGTACATGTGGTGCATGTCTGGTTTATGAAAATTAGGTCTACTTAAGGAGGTGGTCAGTGTAGGAAGGTGGTCAACTATGGAGGTCTACTGCATACAGAGAGCTAGTCTTGCCATCTGGAGATCTCTATATTCTATGCCTCCTCCAATCGCATCAATTTCCAAACCGTAGGTCAAGCTGTTGTTTCTCACTTGGTCTCCCTCCAGCACCCTCCCTACACTGACAGCCAGAGTGAAGTGATCAGATAAAACTGTAAATCCATGGGTGCAGGGACAGTTGTCATCAGAGCTTAACATAATCTTACACACTCTAGGTGGTCAATAAATATTTGGTGAACGAATCATCCAAGCCTGGTTATAGCTTTCTCAAAAATCTTCAGTTTCCCCTCTGCTTCTAGAGTAAAAATCAAAAGGCTCCATTAGGCTTTCAAAACCTACTACATTCGGTCGGTCAGGTTCGCTTTCCGTCTTTTCCTTTCACTACCTTGAAGGCCTGTTTAGTCAGTGATTCACTATTCTTGCCCGGGGCCACTCGTATTCTCCCACCTCCATTCAGGCTATCCTCTCAGCGGATCCTAATGCCAGGGCTCCAAGTTTACAGGCTCCTAGAGAACGCTTACCTGCTCAGCTACTCCCTCCCACTAAGACCTCTTGCCACCCAAGTTGTCCCGTAGCACACCTGCCTCCCGCCCGCCGATCCGCTCTCCGGGCTCTCTGCTGGAGAGTGAGCTCTAGGAGGGAAAAGAGGAGCCTTGGAACTCCCTGGAGCCCTAAGCTAGGACTGCCGCATACAGATGGGTGGTTCTGTTGGCGTGCCAATCACCCGAGGGCCGAGAGAAGGTTGGGGACTGGCCATCGAGAGGAGGCAGCGCTCTCCGGCGCCTGGCCTGGCCGCGGCCGCGACGGGAAGGGAGCGGGAGGGAAGAGGAGGGGAGGCCAGGCCGCTTCCTGCCAGGACCGTGGCCCGCCCCTGCCCCCGCCCCGCGACCGGGGCTGCTCTGCCGGCCTCCTGCCCTGGGCGGCCGCCCAATCAGCGGGCGCCCCCAGCCCGGCCTGCCCCTCCCCCTGTGGTGACAGAAAGTCAGCCCAGCAGATGAGGAAGTGGCAGGCAGGCCGGCTGGCCCCGGGGACGTCTCTCTGCCCCAGCTCATTCCGAGCCCTCTGCTGTTGCCCGCCTGGCCCCTCGCTGGTGAGTCTGGACCGTCCCCGGGCTCTCCACGTGCCGGCGCCCCCAGCCTGGCCAGCCTGGCCCAGCCCTGCCCAGCCCTGCCCTGCCCTGCCCGGGCTGTGGGCGAGGCTGTTCCTGGGGCGAGTGAGTGGGAGGTCCCAGCTCCCTGGGGCTGGGCCTGGCCTGCACCCTCCCTCCCCCAACACCCGTGTCCCTAGCCTCATTTACTTACACCCAGGCCTTCCTCCACCACCTCCTGCTCTTGCTCCTCTCCCTCTTCTGCCCACTCTGCCCTCCTTTCCCCTCCCCCTTCCTTTCCCTGGCTTTTCCCTTCCATCCTTCCTAAAGGGAGGAAGGACAGAACCGACTGAGTTCCCCTATGGGAGACACACCCAAATTTTCCTTCAGCTTGGGGAGAGGTCCTTCCCAGAAGGCTTGAGTCCCTCCTGACCTCCAGGGTGTGTGTGTGTGGGGGGGGGGTGAACTTGGGCTTGGTGGTTGAGAGTGATAAGCTGGCAAACTCAATGTATTAGAGCACAGCCCATGTTCTGCTCCAGAATGGGCACCCACAGGGTCTGCAAGTAAGGGAGAGGTGATCACTGACTTCGGTGAAAAGAGAGCTGTACCCTACTGAAGGCAGGTGTGAGTCTGTTCTTAGGGGCTCCCACGTGTGTGTGGACCTTTGTATGTATCTTCCAGTGAGTATGGGCCTGGGCAGGGAGCAGATGCATCTGTACATAGTACTCAAACCTGTGAGGGCGCTGTGTGAGCGTGGTGTGAATGTCACCGGAGCAGGTGGAGTGGAGGCCGGTTTGGGTGGTGTGTCAGAGGCAGGAGGCTGTATGTGTGGCTTTGTTGTCAGGGGCATTGGGAGTGGGGAGCTAAGATGAGAGGGTGTGTGTGGATGGCAGAGCTGGGAATCTGACTGTGGTGGGTATGAAGAAGTGTGGGGTGACATTGAGGTGTGAGGCAGCGCCTGTGAGGAGTGTTCTTGGGGCACACTGCATCCCCTGGTGTGTGTGACAGCTGTGCTTCTTCACTTAGCAGCTGTGCAGGGAGGTTTCTGGATGGAGGGAGCCAGGAGCAACTGCCACCCTGGCTGTTGGGAGAATGTCTGGTCCCTCTGGAACTGTCTCAGAGTCCCGGGCTCTCCTAGCTCTGGGCAGAGGCTTTTGTGTCCCTGTGAGCCTTCCCCCGACATTCCTTCAGGCTCTGAGGGGGATGGGGCATAGCCCATTAGGACCCCTCCCTGAAGGAGGAGAAGATTCCTGAGACCTCCCCCACATCCCCACCTCCTCACATGCCACTGGTTTCTCTGCCCCTCCCTGGAAGGAAAGGGTGATTGTACCCATTCTGAAGTAGGACAAACTGAGAATTTATGGCTGGCTCAGGAGAGGATGCTGGGTGTGGATTTTCAGTAGTTCTTAGGCCAAGGAGTTTTCTGGCTCTGAATCTAGGACCTTAGCACATCTGCCTGGTCCAGGGTCGATGGGTGGTGAGTCTGGGGCTTTACTTGGCTTTCCCAATCCTGGTGGGTCCTGCCTCCCCCCGCACCCAGGCGCTGACCTGTGGCCTGGACCCACCCTCTACCCCATGCGCTGTACGGCAAGGGTGGGCGGAGGGCGGGGCTGCTGCTAGATCTAGTCAGACAGGTGGAGCTGCTAGGGCAGGAGTCTCAAAGAGCCAGGCTCCAGGAGAGGAAGGGCTCTGCCAGAGGAGAGCACTGAGAGAGGCTGGAGGTGAGAGCCCTGGGAAAGGCAGAGGGGAAACCTAGGGAGAATTAGGGGGATGAATGTCCCAGCAAGGGAGAGGTGGACTCCCAGGCCCAGAAGATTGCAGAAGGGATAGATAGAAGGTACCAGGGAGATGAGAATTCTGCCAGGGGAGGGGAGGGACCCTGGGGAGATGAGAGTCCCTGGAAGGGACTGAGGAGAAGAGAGGGCAAGAGAGGAGCTGTTGGAGGGGAGAATCTCTGGAGAGAAGAAAAACTCAGAGCTGGGGAGGTGAGAGACTTGGGCAGGGAAGGGAGAGGAGGTTCATTCCAAGGATGTTGTTGAGGAGGTCTTAAGACTCTTTGGAAAGAAACCAGGAATTGAGAGTTCTCTTGTAGGGGAAGAGGGAAGAAGAGTCCAGGAAGTAAAACTACCTGGAGAGGGCAGAGAGTGAGGAGGGGAAAGTGTGGAGAGGAAGGGTAGAACAGCCTTTCCCCAGCAGGCAGCATGTGTAGGGAGCAGATATCCCCAACAAACTGTCTCATCCCATCCTAGACCCCAGCAATTGCTTCCTCTCACTGTTCTTCTGCCCTTTCTGCAATGAGGCATTGGAAGTTGTCTGGTTCTGCATCTTGTATCTGAGATGGGGTGCACAATGGGCTCTGTCTGATATCTACCCTCCATATCTCTCTAGAGTCCTTAGCCAGGATGGAGGCTGTTGTGAACTTGTACCACAGGATGATAAAGCATGCAGGTAAGGTGTTATCTATCCACCAACCCTTTCCTCCCTTCTTCCCTGGGATCCCTGGATTGAGGGTTGTCTCCTAATGGAGATTGATCTCATGAAGGCTTTGCCTGTGATGTGACCTCAGGTCTGTAAAGCTGGTGAAAACGTTTTGGACTCCATGACCCTTTCTGACTCCGTTGCCCTTTATTCACAGATCCCCGGGTCCAGGGCTACCCTCTGATGGGGTCCCCCCTGTTAATGACCTCCATCCTTCTGACCTATGTGTACTTCGTTCTCTCACTTGGGCCTCGAATCATGGCCAATCGGAAACCCTTCCAGCTCCGTGGTTTCATGATTGTCTACAACTTTTCACTGGTGGCACTCTCCTTCTACATTGTCTATGAGGTGGGCCCCTGGGATGCCTGGGCTTTAGTTCCTGCCATCAACATAAGGGGCAGGCTATAGGGGTAGAGCATGGCATGGCTTCTCGCCTTTCCAGAGAAGTTCAGTTGCATGTCTGCAGCTAGCAAAGGGGAGGGACTGCTATGAGGGGAGAACTCTGGTGGTCTAATCCATACACTTTCTTAGTTCCTGATGTCTGGTTGGCTGAGTACCTATACCTGGCGCTGTGACCCTGTGGACTATTCCAATAGCCCTGAGGCACTTAGGGTAAGTAGGAACTGGGACTAAGTCAGAATTGCCTGGGGAATAGGAAGAGTTTATATATATATATGACTTGTGCCCATGGCCGTTTTAGGGGAGGCTCTTGGGAATAGCCTGTAGGATCCTAAGCCTGCTCTTTTTGCAGATGGTTCGAGTGGCCTGGCTTTTCCTCTTCTCCAAGTTCATTGAGCTGATGGACACAGTGAGTATAACTGTATTAGATGTGAGAACTTGGGGAGAGGAGGCAGAGGCCCTGGCTTTGAACCCCCTTCTTCTTTCAGGTCATCTTTATTCTCCGGAAGAAGGATGGGCAGGTGACCTTCCTGCATGTCTTCCATCACTCAGTGCTTCCCTGGAGCTGGTGGTGGGGTGTAAAGATTGCCCCAGGTGAGTTGTGGAGGCCACTGGGAGAAGAGGGTGTATACTGGGGACCAGAAGCTCGATTCTGCTGACTGTTTTATTGTCTACTCACAGGAGGAATGGGCTCTTTCCATGCCATGATTAACTCCTCTGTGCACGTTGTCATGTACCTGTACTATGGGTTATCTGCCCTAGGCCCTGTGGCTCAGCCCTACCTTTGGTGGAAAAAGCACATGACAGCCATCCAACTGGTGAGGGCTTAGGCCTGGCCTGTAACCATCCCCCCAACATTCCTAGTTTGGATCCTGCCTTTATCTAGCCTATCTCACCTTTGACCCCACCCTCTCCACTCAAATGTTTATCCCCCTCTGACTCCCCTTCCCTTTCTTACCCTCTCACTGTTCCCAATAACCCTTGCCTTCCTCTATTCTAGATCCAGTTTGTCCTGGTCTCACTGCACATCTCCCAGTACTACTTCATGCCTAGTTGTAACTACCAGTACCCGGTAATTATTCACCTCATCTGGATGTATGGCACTATCTTCTTTGTGCTGTTCTCCAATTTCTGGTATCACTCTTACACCAAAGGCAAGCGGCTGCCCCGTGCACTTCAGCAAAATGGAGCTCCAGGTGTTGCCAAGGTTAAGGCCAACTGAGAAACATGGCCTAGATAGGCGCCCACCTAAGTGCCTCAGGACTGCACCTTGGGCAGCATCTGTCAGTACCCTCCCTGCCTACACCTGTGACCAGGGTTTATGTGGTCAGGATTGAGCAGGGGACTGGCCCTCTCCTCTCCACAGCTGGTCTACAGGGACCACTGCTTCCGTTTGTTCCTCACCTACTTCCTCTGGCCAGCTCCAGAGATGTGGCCTTATTGCCTTCTGCTGCTCCAGAGCTGGGGGCTAAAAGGGCTGGACGCTTACTTCCCCCTCTCTGCCTTAAACTTGGGAGAGGAGCACTCAGGGCTGGCCCCCACCGGGTCTTGTGGCCTTTTTCCTCACACTGAAGAGGTCAGCAATAATCTGTCACCATGGACCCAGTCTCCCTCCTCCACCCCACACTGAAGCAGTAGCTTCTGGGCCAAAGGTCATGGTGGGCGGGAGCCTGGGAATACAGCCTGTGGAGGCTGCTTACTCACTTGTGTCTTAATTAAAAGTGACAAGAGAAAACCACTGAGGCCACCTGTGTACATGTGTAAATTGAAGAGGTGGGGCACACAGCTTGCTTAGTCCTGTGTATAAACAGAAGTGATGGTCAAGGCTCCTAGAAGACACTTCTAGCTCTCATTGATCCCTGGAACATAGGTCATGCAAGGGGAAGAAAGGGAGACATGACTTTATTAGAAAAATAAAAAACTGCTGAGGTGATAGGTTGGTACTCAACGGATGCCTTGGTGGATGAGGCTGCTTTTGGCTGCACTAGCCTTCTCCCGCTCCCGCCTCCGTGCAGGGTCCAACTCAAAACAGCGCCATAGCCTCAGAGTCTCATCTGCTGCTGCTGATGCCACAGTGGCCCCATCTGGGCTCATGGTCAGACTCAAGACCCGGGATGTGTGACCTTGGGCAAATGAGAACAGTGTATCTTATACCCATAGCCCACCTCTTTTTTTTTAATAACAGCTTTATTGAAATGAAATTCACATACCATACCATAAAATTAACCCTTTTATTTTTTATTTTTATTTTTTGAGACAGAGTCTTACTATGTCACCTTCATTAGAATGCTGTGGCATTCCAGCTCACAGCAACCTCAAACTCTTGGGTTTAAGCAATTCTCTTGTCTCAGCCTCCCAAGTAGCTGTGATTACAGGTGCCTGCCACAACGCCTGCTATTTTTTTGTTGTAGTTGTCACTGTTTGGCAGGCATGGGCTGGGTTTGAACCCACCAGGTCTTGAGTATGTGGCTGGTACCCTAGCTGCTGGACTACAGGAGCTGAGCCTAACCCTTTTAAAATACACAATTTAGTGGTTTTGATTATACTTGCAATGTTGTGCAACTGATAAAACTATCTGATTTTAAAATATTGCTCCCCATTTTACCTTCTCTCCCCATTTTTCCTTCTCTCAGCTCCTGGAAACCGTTAATGTGTTTTGTCTTTCTGGATTTCCCTATTCTGGACATTTCATATGTAGCCTTTTGTGTTCGGCTTTTCACTTAACTACCTACCTTTGAGCTCAGCCACCTTGGCCATGGTTGGATACTTCCAAATAACCAGCTGGTTCTGGGCAAAGCCATGGCCTGAGATGAGTTCCTTGTAATGGGGAGACCAGAGGATGGAGCACACCTGTGGAGAGGGGATAGCATGGGCATGACATATAGCTAAGCTACTCAAGTCAGAACTGGGTCAATTCTAGTGTTAGGTATCCTGCCAAGTCCTATGGACTCAGACTTGAATGATCAGTCCTTACAAAAGCCCTTTGAGAGACAATTATAGATGGTCCCCAACGTAACGATTTTTTTACTTTTATGATGGATTTATTGGGATACAAGTCAGGGAGCATCCATACTATCTATTTAGCAGATGAGGAATGAGGAATCAATCCCAAGGAAGTTTAACAAGTTGTTTAAGGTCGTATGCAAGTTAGGTTAGTAGCGGACAGCAACAGAATTTGAATTTTGGCCACCTGGCTCTAGAGCTTCTGTCTAGTATGAAGCTGCATGTGAAGGGAGTGGAAAGAGAAGCTGATGTGGCTGCAGGTAGGCCACCAGCAAGAGCCTCAAATGTCATTCTAATAAATTTGGATTATATGCCATAGGTGATGATGAACCATTACAGGTTTAAGGAGGATAGTTAAAAGACCACTCAGACCATAGTGTGAGGACAGATTGGAGGAGACCACTAGTGAGAAAGCCATTGTAGTGGGCATCCAGAGAAGAGGGTGAGGCTGAGGGAAGGGGATAGCTGTATGTAACATTCTGAAGTGACAGATTATGGCAGAGGATGAAGGATTCTAGGAGGCTTTTCTTATTTCTGAGCAGGTTCTGCCATTCTGAAATAATATAAGAGGAGGAGGTACACATTTCAGGGAGGCAAGAGGCAGTGGCAAGTTTAATTTGGGACCTCTCTCTACAGGACAGAGTTGGAGACAGCCACAGACTGCTGGAAATAGAGTTCATGAGTGAGATCTAAGTTCAAAGTTTGGGAGTGATCAGGGTAGAGAGCTAGTGAAGCCACTAGAGTGGCTTAGTTGCCCAGGAAGACCACACAGAGTAAGGACACATCTAGCATGAGAGGCTGGAAACAGGTAAAAAGAGTACCTGGGAATGGGCGTCCACAGCACTCAGACAGGCCCCAGAACAGACGTTCCAAATGCGAATGTGTCTGTCACTGGTGCCTCCTCCTGTTGCCAGGACATTGGACTGCCAGGGACACCAAGCTACAGCCTAGGTAGGATAAAGGTGGGGTCAGCAGGTACTTGACTATAGCTAGACAAGGAGCTATAGGGGTCACAGATGAATGAAGTCCAATCCATCACCCCATTCCCCTTTGATAGTCCAGTCCCCAGGTTATAGGTGAGAGTCTGTAGAGACCTCAGCCCAACCCCCTTACCTTGACAGCCCCTTGATGCTGGGTGAATGTTTGCAGGGGAACCCAGCCACTCTCTCCAGGAGCACTAGGCCACACATTGACCAAGTTATCATTGCCACCACTGGCCAAATGTCGTCCATCTGGAGCCCAGCGTAGCCCACACACTTCTTGGCTGTGGCCACTCAGTGTGGCCACATGGTGTTCTGCTACCCGAACATCATGGTGGTGGATGTGGCCGGAGCGTGAGCCGCTAAGGAATGTAGGAAAGGAATCAGGTTCTGTGGCGGCATCAGGGCTAATTCAGTTCAGAGGTGTATAGTCAAGGGCAGAATGGGCAAAAATGAGACTGATTTTGCCACAGACTGGCAAAAACCACTAACCTGGACAGGATATAACTGTTCCAACTTAGGGAGCCCACTCGGGCAGAGTGACTGGTCATATTTCGAAGCCGTTTCTGCTGTTGCACATCCCAGAGCTAGAGAGAGACCACTGGGATCAGAGACTGAGACTCGCCATTAATATTCTCCACCTGGGCAAGCCCCCTGGGTCTGGTGATATGACAGAGCTGCAGTAACAGGGATACAAGTCTCACCTGCACCTCGGCACTGCTGGTGCCCACAGCCAGGTAGTTGCCTTCTTTGATCCAGGCCACAGAGGATACATATTCCCCAGGCTGCTCCATTTGCAATAGCTGCAGGATGTCACCAGAGCTTGCACTCCACAAGTACACACTGTTATCCAGTGCCACAGCCAGTACATTCCCAGAGCTCCAATCCACAAGGTTCAGGTCTGCCAGATGTGGAAAGGCAAAAGCATGAGCTTTCTTGTTTTGCCTGGTCCCAGGCCCTCTTTCTCCATCCACAGAGCAAGGAGAACACTGCACTTACAGTAGTCATTTCGTATTTCAGGAGCATCCAGGATACGATCTGGCAGGGAAGGAATGTAACGGCAGGTCTTCCGGCTGGAGCCAGGTGTAGCCTTCTGGCTATAGAGTACTTTCAGTCTGTTCTGGTAACCTGTGGCAACAGAGTGGGTTTAGATCAGGCGTCCTCAAACTATGGCCTGCAGGCCACATGCAGCCCGCCTAGGACATTTATCTGGCCTGCCGGGTGTTTTGGCTGCAGCTGCCTATCCTGCTTAGCAGCGGACTGGTCCCGGACCCTACAGTCGGCCCTCCAATGGTCTGAGGGACAGTGAACTGGCCCCCTGTTTAAAAAGTTTGAGGACCACTGGTTTAGATGCTGGGAAAGTTGACACCTTTCTTGCTCTCCTTCCTATGATGGAGAAGCAGCAGACGAAGAAGAGCAGATAAGTATCTTCTCTCACTCCTGGAGATGAACAGACACTTCCCTCCAAGAACCACAAACTCCAGGTCTTACCCTCTGGGGCATTTTGTGGTTTTCCACTGAGCCGAAGGATCTTGGCTTCCTCTACATCAAAACCGTTCAGGTTCAAAGCCCAGGCTTTCTGATGTTCCTAGCATATAAAGGCAGTGGTGAGGCATGATGGACATAGTCAGACTCCGGTGACATGAGACCCTTTGGGACCACATACCTTTTTGGTGGGCGTCTGGCTGTTTTCAGGCTGGTTCTCCTTGCTCAGGAGGAAGCTGGCCACCTCCATCTGGGAAGCGCTGCGATGAGGGATGTAGCGGTCACCGCCAGGTTTGCTAGGAGTGGTCTGAACCTTAGCACTGGATTTGCCTGGGGCAGAGAGAAGACGAAACAGTTTGATCAAGTTCCTGGGTAAGGAGGTACGAAGGCTGCTCCCAGCCATTCTTTTTCTCTTGCTCCCTTGTCCCGCCGCACTCCACCCACCAGGGGTTCGGCCCGGAGTCCTGCCGGCGCTGTGGGATCGGTTGGCCGCCCGCATGGGTGAAGGGGCCGGCCCGGCAGCTTCCTTGGCTTTGCGCTGCCAGCGCGCGGGGGGTGCATTAGGGATGGGTGCGTCCAGCTGCAACAACGAGTGGAGGTCACTCTCGAACACGAACTGCGCCATGGGGGCGACTGTGGGGGAGGGGTCCTTCCAGTAGGTGCCCGCGGAGCCCTGGAGGAAGAGAAGCGATGGCGCTCAGGAGACAGTCAGGGCCACCTCCATTCCCGGCCATCCACGCTCGGCTGCCACCTCCTCGGGCCTGACACTCGCCGGCCGCGGCCCCACCTCGGCCCTGCCCAGCCGCCTCTCACCCTAGACTCGGGAGCAGATTCCAATGCCGGACGGGTTTCAGCACCGCTGGTTTACACCTCTTAAACTCTCCGCTCCAAGCACTCATTGGCTCCTTCAAAACCCAACCGTTGCAACGGTCGCCCTCGCCCATTGGCCCCTACGGGACAGGGGGCGGGTCTTCCGGGCATGTTACGGCTCTCACGAGAGTTTATCCCTGCAGTGTGAGTTGAAGGGTGGAAGCGAGTATAAAAGGCAGCGCCCGAAACTTGGGGTCAGAACCTCGGCGGGGCGGGGCTAGCGCTAACTTAGATTCTTACCTTGAGGGATCTCTGAGTATTGGGCTCGGTGTGCTTGGGGTGTCTTAGAGCCTAAGGACTCTCACATTTAAAGCCTGCACATGGGGACGGTGCCTGTGGCTCAGTGGGTACCGCGCCGAGGGTGGCGGGTTCAAGCCCGACCGGCCCCAGCCAAACTGCA